GCATAAGATTGGTCTGATTTTGATCATGAATTCTACCATCCAACTGTCAGTTATCAAGCCAAAAATCAATATTAGTCTAACCAACATCCCAAATGAAATAATCTTCTGCATGTTCTTTAATTTTTAAGTAAGCTCACCCAAATTTTGGAGTCACCCAACTTCTTTAGTACCTTGAGGGGGTGGTTATCCTTGCAATATTTCTTATGCATGTATTGAGACTACAAAGATTCTTTGGAAAAGCTTCTTGCTTTAAGATAAAATTCCAACTGATAGTATCATATGCTTTTCTAAGATCTAGTTTAAAGATTAAATTGCTTCCTCTACAGAGTTTTTCTAAATTAATTAATAATTCGTAAGCTAAAAAGACATTATTTGGTATATTTCTTCCTTTGACAAAAAGCTGATTGATTAGGAAAGTACGGGTAGTTTAGTAATTACATTAGTAAGTTTGGATCCTGCTAACCGAGATTTTACTGATTAATTTAGTAATTACATTAGTAAGACTGAATCAGTTGTAATCATCCCATCTAGTTTTACTTTTTTATTTGGGAATTAGAGTACAAGTAGTGGTTGTGAAATATTTTGGAGAGTCCTCCCCTAAGAAAAAACTCTGCACAACCAATTTTACCTCTTGTTTAACAATATCCCATGACTTTTTTTATAAAAGTGCAACATATCCATCAAATCCAACAGCTTTACTACAATCAATGGAGTTCACAGCCTTCTTGATTTCCTTTTAATTAGAATGGTAAGTGAGCTGAAGGTGTCTGGTAACAATTATATAATCTGCAAAAAGAGTTTGATCAATTGCTTTATGATCATTATGGGTTTGATTCATCAAGCTTTGAAAATAGTTGACACCATTAGTTGCAATCTGCTGAGGATCAGTAATCCAATATCCATTTTCATTTATAACAACATGATAATATTTATAATTTATGTCACCATAAGTAAACCTATTATCAACAGCTTTTTGTTGTAAAAACTGTTCTTCCAAACTTATGACAATGAGTAACTTGACATTAGCTTCATGAAGTTCCTATTTAGTAGCCTCCCCTCTATTCACAGCTTCTACTGTGCCTATAACCTGTTGTTCACTTGAGTGACTTGAAGATTGAGATTTCCAAAACATTCCCAATTCCATTTCCTTAAAGCATTGGCAAGAATTTTTTGAAGTTGCCAAAGCTTATACCAATGACTGCCATATATTTTAGTGCAGCAAACATACTTCACAACCTCAAAAGTCTTTATGTTCTGACCAAAAATTGAAATATCCGAAGGGTGATTTCACACTGATGTCTGTAACTAAGATAGTTAGTAAGAGGGGTCTGTGATTAGTTCCTGTCATGTCGGTAACTCATTGAAATTTGCCCACTAGTGTAAACTTACAAGATTTAGTTGGTTAGGTACTTCATTTTCATATACATAGAGTGCAGATTTTCCCCCCATTTTGCTAGCCTTTTTAACCAAAGAGCAATCACATTTACCTTCATATTAATCATGATAGCATTAAGGAAAAACTAGGTTTTCCACTGATTCACTACAAAAACCAGTATTGGTAGATACAACATCAGCAAAAAGAATTTCTTTGGGGCCAAAATAAGAATCAACAGAGGGATGCAAAAGATGGTTAGGTGCAACCATGAGTAAAGACACCAATGGAATAATAAACTATATTAAGGATTTTTAAATTTCGAGTTCTCGGGGACACCCAAAAGTCCAAAAACCACACTATAAACTAAAATAGCACTAGAGAAACACTTAAAAAGAGCAGGAGAGGCAGGAAACAAATCACCAAAGCCATAAAGAGAAGCTCAAGAACCCTCAGAATCGGGAGGGAGGCGTCGCCAGCTCCATTGCCCACACATACATACATACATACATACATATATATATA